AGCAAAAGAGATAATGCGAAGAGACATAGCTACTTAATAGCCATCGATTTCATGTCGGAGATATTGAGAGGGTATAAGGCTGGCATTGATCATGCATTTTGTTCCGGCTACATGGTCGTTATTCTTATGGCTTGGCATATTTTAGGGGAGCATGATTGTTATTTTTGTAAACCCAATATGTGTATAAATGAAATATATATGATGATATGTATTGTAAGCTCGGTCACCTAGTTATTAGTTTTGTGATCGAGGCGATATTTGCTATATGTGCATAAAATGATTATTTATTGCCATTTACATCTATAATTAATTGATATGTAATTATATAAACTAGGGTAACCTTAATTACTGAGTGGTTGTACTCACTCCTCATTCTTCAATATTTTAGGGTCTAGCTTATCAGATTAGAATTGGGAAAAATGATCGAAGGCCTAGGGTCATTGTGTAAATCCTAATAGTAGGCCTTGAGTTTTACTTTTATGTGTATTTAAGTTGTTAATTTATCAACTAGGAGTTCATATCATTCTTTTGACTACTTACATTATATTTTAGATTATCTTTTGTACTTTGTGCCCTGAGCTGTTGATATGTAGTTGTAAAGTTTAAATAGAGTCGAAATACTAGTACACGAAAGGTAAAGTGCATTTAGGTTGTTTTAGATGGATGTTAATTATTTTATGTAAGTTATCTTCCCTTTGTTTTGGTGAATAAAGGGTTGAGTAGTAAATTTATGTAATATGTATATGATTGTGATGTATTGCATGAGTCCAAAATAATCCATTGAGTGTGGTCTAAAAATTAGTGTAGGCTTTTGGCACCTGTGTTGGAGTTTGGACACCTTAGTTGTGAATCTTTATGAAAATGGAGTAGGAATTGAAAATGGTGTCCAACTTTTGCTAGAAATACAATTTGATTGTAAAGCTTATGTCATTAGCTAAAATTAGGAGAAAACTCTTTGTAAATATTTCGTGCAATGTGCCGTGGAACATGTGCTGTTTTTTGCACAGTTCGTTGTTTTAAAGTTGATATGCAAATGTTTTGATTCACTTTTAATTCCTATACTTCTGTATAAATTTTAAACTCTGATTTATAAAAGTTGAAAGTGTATGGGAATATTTAAATATTGAAAACTTGCGATTCTTATTTGTATAATCTGATAAATTTGATAATTACATTTATATTTGGAATTAGGGAGGATTAATAAGTGTAGCCTTACTTATTTAACCCGAAGGTTACAAACTGTGAATCACAAGTAACCCATACATTTGTGGAAATCAAGTAGTCCACTTAAAGACAAGGTTGTTTCTTAATTTCTAACTTTCATTTTAATCTCAGCTACGAACTAAAAAAATTACATAATATTAATTTTGAATTTCAGGTAATTTGCTTAAATTAGATAACTCGCTTTTTATAATAAAATGGGAATTATATTGATAGAATATTTACAAGTAGAACATAAGTTTAGAAAACAAACATATCAAGCCTCATGGTCCAAAGATTATGTCTCACTATATTTGGTTGGAAGGGATGTGAAGAATTTTAATGAAGAAAAGGAAAAAGGAAAAAGGTAGGGGAGGAGAGGGGAGAGGGAATAATCCCTCCCAATCCTCCTAATTTTGAGAGGAAGCCCTTTCTCTTTACTGTAATATTGCCAATTAAGAGGAAGATTCCCTCCCCTTCATTTTGCCATTGAAATAAGGGGAGGGAAATTTACATTAAAATGTTCTCTCTCCCCACTTTTAACTAAATAATTTTAAATCACCAATTTATTTAATAATAATTTAGGGTGCGTTAGTTTATTTCATTGGCAAATATCATCTTATTATTGTTGATCCAAAGCTCCCATGCAATGTTATCACCTGTTTAACTCATCATGGGTATTCTGGAAAGTCTTGACATTTGTTGGAATGGAAAGTTAGACAAAGTCAACATTTATTCTAACTTTATTGAAGTGATCACACTCATTTATAATGAATTCTCTGTTAATCGTCAACTCAACAAAACTATCAATAAAATCACAAAGCTTGCTATAAGAGACTAGATGATTACTTCCAAGCATTTTTTTAAAAAGGAAAATAATTGTGTTGATTGACTGACTCATCAAATCTCAATTGATAATATAGGCGTTCTGATTTTTGATATTCCACCACTTAATTACAAAAATATTTTATATGCTGATACAACTAGAGTTGTCTTTTTTATACAATTTTCTCTATAGCCTTATATTAAAAAAAAAAACTTCCATGCCATAACCCTGAAGAGAAGTACCCATGATAAGTGGGCAAAAGTTCCAATATGACCACTCCTGGGATGAATGGCCGAAAAGAATAGAGGATATGTGATATGGAATTGGTATTGTCTCGTGGAGCATGGCTGTGGCAAAACATATGTTTTCTCCTAAATTTTACATTAATCCCAACTATTGACTGTTGAAATTAAAATTGCACAATAAGTTGTAAATGTAAATTTAGAGTAACCTAATCATAAAAATCACGTATCCACTTAGACATAGGGTTATTTCTTATTTTCTAATTTAAGTCTTAGAAAAGCTAATTTTTATTTTAATAATGACTATTAAATATTAAAATTGCGCCATATCAATTGTGAATTCCATATGACCTGTTTTTAAAAATTAAATGACCTCTTGAAAATTACAGTGCTATCTGATGAAGGCATTACAGTCAATCCTAAGGACCTAAGGCCCTGTTTGGTACATAGGTTTCAATTTAAAAGGATTGAGATTGGGGCTGGTGTTGGTATTGGTAGTGGGAGTGAGACTTAAAAATTATGTTTGGTATAGAGTAATACATGTAGGAAATACTTACTTTTATTTTATTTTACAATTAAGTATAAATTATGAATAGACTATAATACCCTTATACTTTTAAAAAAAATTAACCTAGCTCATTGAGGCGAGGTCTGGAAAAAGTCGGATGCCATAGATCACCATGGTAGTACACCTTTAGTTTTAGGTTCGATCGCGGTAGATCTGGAAGAAGTTAACGACGTCTCCGACTCCAATGTTTCCTTTTCCTCTATCTCCTTCTTCGTCGATGTTGAGGTGAGGTCTGGAAAAAGTCAGACATGATAGATCACCATGGCAGTGCACCTTCAGTTTCAGGTTCGATTGCGGTAGATTTGGAAGAAGTTGATGAGGTCTCCGACTCCGATATTTCCTCTTCCTCTATCTCTTTCTTTGTTGATGTTCAGCGTCCCTCTGACTTTGATTTTTTCTGCTTCACCTGCGTCTCTTCCTCCCCTACAATTTCCTGCTTCACCTCCTTAAATAGATTAGAGCATTGAGGCAGCGTACAGATCAGAGCTTGAGAAGAGGATTTCATAGCAGTTGGACAGAGTGAATAGATCAGGTTGCACGAATGGAAGAGACGCACACGCGAGAGAGAGAGAGAGATGGGTGAGGGCAATTTAGTCTAGACATTTTTAGTCCCAGGAATGATTTTGCAAACCTAGGGGGTGGGTGGTATTGAATAATCCCATGTAAGGTGGGATTGGGATTGGGTTTAGATTGCTCAATGATTCATACCAAACATAAAATGTTGGGTTTTCTCAATCCCAATTCTAATCCCTAGCTTTCAATCCCATGTACCAAACAGGGCTTAAGTCTTTTATATGAATTTCAATTATTTGAATTCCTTAATATAATGAATGGCCTCAATGGGTCTGTAGTAGTCATTTTTGCAATATGTGGTGTCACTTTGAAAAATCTCACATGAGAGCGTAATTAAGATCTCTCCTTATTAGTATTAGTACCCTAAAAGAAGGGAAATTTTCAAGGAGACTCCCTAATTCAATTTAATTCCAATCAAAGTTCATAAAATTTTAAAATTTCATTGCACATATAAGAGATTTAAATGATATTAAAAAGCTAACTAAAATAACCTCATTATCTTTAATAACATTAGGCACATGAACAAATCATATAGATAAAATAACAATTGTTGTATGAAAAATAAACTATTGACATAGATGGAATTTGTAACTCTCATTAACACCATGATATCACTATAAATTTGCAACTTTCATACAACTTACACTAATTATTTTTTTCATACATTAACTGTTTATTTTTTCTACATGAGTTATTTATGTGTCTAGTTTCATTTGTTTATATTTAGGAAAAATTATAATAAATTTTCTTTAAAATATATAAATGACAATTTGATCTCTCAAAATGCCATAATTTTTTCAAAATCTTTAGGTACTTTTCTGTCATTAATGAATTTATGTAAATTATTAAATTATCTTTATTGAAATTAAATGATTCACAAGTTTTGTTTAAATATTTACAACTTTTTTTTATATTCGCAATAATGTAACAGCAAATCACCAAACTGTCCTTATTGAAATTAAATGATTCACAAGTTTTGTTTAAATATTTATAATTTTTCTTCTTACATTCACAACAATGCAACATCAAATTATAATTTCACATGTTAAATTTTTTATTTGTTGTTGCATTGTTGCGAATGTAAGAAGAAAATTTATGAATATTTAAACAAAATTTATGAATCATTTATTTTTAATAAAGACAATTTGGTGGTAATTTATATAAATTTATTAATGATAAAAAAATTTCTAAAAATTTTAAGAAAATTATGATATTTTAAGGGTTCAAGTTGTTATTTACATATTTTAAAAAAATTTTATTATCATTTTTCCTCATATTTATAATAGTGTTTGCAAAATTTATCTACATCCGTTATTAATTTTCCATATATTAGTCATTAAAATTTTTATGAGTTATTTATGTGCTTAGATTCAATAATGAGATTATTTCAAGTCAGATACTTAAAGTCAGATTTTTAAATTCATTATCATCTCCCACATTTAAAGTAAAATTTCAGAATTTTAGAAATTCCGAGTTTTAAATTAAGTTTAGCATAGAATTCGCACTCAAAAAAAAAAAAAAAAAAGGACAGAAGAAGGAGCTTCTTCCGATTGCAAGCTACTATCCAAAGCATGGATTTAGAAGCACCGCGGCAATTTGGTTATTTTTCTTAGCTAACTATAAAAAAAAGTTACATATCTATACTCTGATCCTCTGTTTGCTAGCCTTCCATGACAAAATTCTAGTTTCCAAGCCTGTTCGACGTCAAAACAACAATCACAATCATGCAGTAGCGGCTCCATGAGTGACGACTGAAGACCCAAAAGTCTCCAAAAGGCAATAACTGCGTGAAATACAAAACTTTCATCTCTTAGCCATCTCCATTCCTGTTCTTGAACCTACAAAACGCAGATTTACCATTAAAATTTGGCGAATCTGATATTGATACAGCCAATAGGGCTCAGTCACCAATTAATTCACCTATCCTGATCCCTTGAGATGGGATTGTCCTACTTGATCTCGGGGGCTTGAGTTGAAATGCAGCCCAATTTGTTCCCCTTTGGAAGCTTTCAGGGAAATCCGTTCGTATTCAATGGTGATTTGAGTGAGGGGTTTGAGACCTCTAGGGTTTTCTTCTTAGTTCCTTTCTTGCTCTTCCAGGGAGGGGGAATGGATTTGTCCAAGGTCGGAGAAAAGATCCTGAGCTCTGTTAGGTCTGCGAGATCGCTTGGACTGCTCCCCTCTGTTTCTGATCGGCCCGAGGTAAATGATTCTGTATATAATGTTTAGTCACCGTACTCATTCCAGTGATTTTAATTTATTATTAAAATGCTCACTTGTAGTCCTAGTTAATGCTCTACCGTTAAACTGACACTGGGAAAAATGTGCTAATTTGACAGTTGTCAGTTGTCAGAGTATAATGTTGTTATTATCTATTAGTCAGTTCGCTTAGTCAGGCTTTTACTTAATACCTATCCCTAATGTTTCCTTTTCTGAAGAAATGAAGAAATATTATACCATTACTTAGGCTACCCTGCTGTTCTATGATTCCGGTGGAACAGGAAATCTGTTGAATAGGAATGTCCAGAGAGATGTCATCTTCACAGCTAAAAACAAGAGCATTATATATAGCAAATGTTTTGATAAATAATTGAAAATTTGTGGGACTGGGTTAGTTAGAGGGTATGCATAATGTTCTCACCATGGAAAGGAAAACATTTGAGCGTTTGCTTCCATGGTTAAAGTTTAAGAAATAACAGCCTGTTCTGGAGATCACTAAGGATAATGCATTACAACACTGTTTGTCATGTAGATTGATGTAGTTTTGAAGTTTGATGATTCTCGGGACTATTTATCTCACTGAACATACCACTGAAGTATCGGCAGCTGCCATAACATTTTTCCTCCGCCTGATCTCTGAATTTCATCAACTAGACATGTTGTTCTCATACAAAGCATAAAGTTTGAGTAATAAGTTACACAATTCATGGTTCCTGAATAGTGCGACTTGTTATATATATGTATATATTACATTAATATTGATGTTGGTTGACAAGAAGCTCAATATGCGTACTAAATTTCACCAAAATTTGAAGAAAGTCTTTATGTATATTCTGATCACACAACAATTATAGAAAACAAAAGGAAATCACAATCCATAAGTAACCCTTTAATGAGTTCTCTTGCAGTATCCCTTCCCCTGCAGCTATAATTAATGGCTGTTTCCAAATTAGAGCAACATGTCGCACAACTATAAGGAGGCAAGAGTGAAACACGTTGTTAGTGCTAGCCTTGTTTTGTACCATTGTTCCAAAAAAAAAAAAAAAGTCAACCTAAAGGGAGCATTGGACATCCAACGGGACTTTGAATGGTATTAATAATGTGCAATTATTGCTGTTATATACAAATACAACTAAATGAAGCACATTTACACTTTAATATTCTGAGGAACTCCTGGTAGGAACTTGTTTGAGATATATATTCTGTCTAGCTGCATATTAAGTATGTGTGCTTGATTGATATATCATGCTTTTATAAATCTTGTTGTTCAGGTTCCAGCTAGAGCTGCTGCTGCTGCCGCTGTTGCTCGTGCTCTTGCGGGATTGCCTCCTCACCAGCGGTATAGCCTCTCATCAAGTTCCGAAGAACTGAGTTCTATATATGGAAGCAGAAATCATGGTGAAGAAGTAGAGGAGCTTGAGGATGAATTCTATGAGGAGGTGTTGCTTGCTTGATCACTTTTGATCTAATTACAGACTAGCATTTCCTTGTACCTCACCTTGTGTTGAATGGTAGATAGATCATTTGTTTTATGGAGGCTGTGTTCCTTATACTTATTGGAAGTGAAAAGTACTCTTGGAGACCTTTCTGAATCTTAGAATTGAAATCATTCTTCAGATGTCAATAAAAAAGACTGCTTATGCTGATAATTTAAGGTGCAGGACTATTACTGTCTCAAGTGTGACTAAATTATAGATTGCTATTCTTTGTTCATAAAAAAGGAATGTTATGTGACTAATAGCCAGGAAAAAAAATAGCCTGATAGAATTTGACTAATATTATACCTTTTCATTCTAGAAAGTTCCATTTGAAAAATATTAATGCTGTGTGATGCACATTCCTTGAAGGTTTAGACTTTGTTTGACTTTGATTAGCCCATCATTAGAACTTGAGTTGTTTGGAATCTGTGTATCCATCAGAGAGCACACCTGTTTTGAAAAATGTTCTTAGCTTAATTGGAGCAGAAATCGATTTCGTACTCCTTATTGTTCTTTTCTTTTCTTTTATCTTTATGCTTCTGCCTATTAAGGTAAGGATATCTGAGGAGTTATATTCCTAAGAAGATATCTTTTGCAGGATTTTGATCCAGTCAAGTATGTTTTAGAGCATGCTCCTGCTGAAGAAAGTGAGCTTGCACACTTTGAGAAACAGGTAGAATTTCTGTTTTTTTAATCCTTCTATTAGTGGAGCATGTTTTTAAATATATCTTATCATTCAGGAAGAAACATTTTCTTTCTCTGTTTAGTCATTCTTCTGATCATGAAAAATAGTGGGGGCATAGAACACTCACCTACTCAAGTTTTGTAGAATGGCACTCAATTCCAGTTTCCTTCCCATCATTTGTCCTGATTGACTGACAGATGTATGTATATTGGCCCTATTAATTGCACCTACTTAAGTTAATAAATTGACCTTTACTTTGTTGCTAGGCAAGCTAAATGGTGATATCTGAATGGATTGAAGTTTTTTATCTGATTTATTTAGTTCTTAATGTCCTGTCACTTGATAAGGTGCTTGGGTTTTTACTTTGTTGCATGGGTCATAAGTTAGCATGAGATTTGGTTGAAATTCTTGAAACTACATGACTATTTCACTTCTTTTCTCAGGCCGCTCTTAGATTGGCACAGTTGGATAGAGTAGCAGAGTGTTTATCTCGCCACGTAATGAAGCATCATGAAGTAATGGGTAAGAAAGGAAATGTAAATTTAGAGAATTCATCGACTGTTCAAGTTTCAGTGTATAGAATCATGAATGTTTCTTATTTCATTTTGCATTCATCTGATTAAGGTTTTTTCTTCTTCTTAAATAACTCATTAATTGGTTCCATATGTTTGAATCTAATTCTTAAATTGTAAAATATTTTAAAAATAATGTCATTTTCTGTTGACATAATCAAGAATCAGTGGTTGGTCTTAGTTCCACTATTGGCTTGCTCTGATCTTTTGTTTTTGCATTGCTACACCTTGCGCTTAATGGGCAGTGATGTTGGAGATAAGTGCAAGCTGATTTGCAGTTTCTGTTTCTGTCTTGTATTTCCTTAGCATATGCATGTTCAATATTCATCAATATGAAATATAAAATCTATAACAATTTTCAGTATTCATTCACACTATTCAAGACATGAATAGTGCAACTCATCTCAGACTTTATACAATATTACAATGCGTGGAAAAAGATGTGTAGTTTTTAGAATAAGTTGCTGATATTTACTTTTGGTCAGTGAAGGGGATGAATTTGGTTAGGGAACTGGAAAAAGACTTGAGGATTGCCAACGTCATCTGCATGGTAAGCATTGAAAAGGTGTCAGCAAATGTGACTGTAAATTTTTTTGCTCTATCTGGTTCTTATTATTCTTCTTAATGTTTTTTCTTTTAGAATGGAAGAAGACATTTGACCTCATCTATGAATGAAGTTTCAAGGGATCTCATTGTAAATTCGTATTCCAAAAAGAAACAAGCTCTTCTGGTATTTTTCCTTTCTTTATGTACCTAAATCAACAATAATGATTAGTCTTCAAACTTTATGCTTTGGATCTTCTGTTTTTCAATCTCGTTATGCATAAGTTGTGGGAGATAAATGTAGTTTAATCTTTTGGATACGAAGTTTTATCTAGGTTCATGGAGTACTTGATGCATGCTTAGAATCAAGGCTTCATATAGTTTGTGTTTGTAACTTGATTGATGCATGGTTTTAAATTCATAGGACATGCTTCCAATTTTGACTGAGCTTCAACGTGCATTGGAGATGCAATCAACACTTGAATTACTTGTTCAGGAGGGGAATTATTGCAAGGTGGGTTACTTTATCAATTTTGAGCCAATTACCCACCGCGTATCAGTCAATTTTCCATCCCCCTCCTTTGTTTTTGATGTAACTAAGATTTTCATTTGTATCCTTTTGGCATTGATTTGTAGGCATTTCAAGTGCTATCTGAGTTTCTGCAACTTTTAGACAGTTTGTCAGAGCTTTCAGCAATACAGGAGATGACTCGTGGTGTGGAGGTGATTATTAAATTAATGTCTTGAAAGAGAAACCATTCACATAATATCTTATGTGTGTGCTTAGCTGAGCACTTCTCTGTTTCTTGCTATGTAACTAGAGATATATCTAACAGTAATTTCCTGTGTGTATTTAACTGTTTCATTATTGATGTAGGTTTGGCTGGGAAAAACTCTACAAAAGCTGGATGCTCTTTTGTTGGGAGTTTGTCAGGAATTCAAGGAAGATAGCTATCTAACTGTGAGTTTCATTTAGTTTTGGCAGGCAAATGGGTCATTCTTTTTTGTACAGAGCAAGTTTAGAGTTGTCAGTGTCTAGTCTTAGCATGCACACTTTCTCAGTTTGTCTTTCTACTACAAGTCTACAACAACAAGCCTTATCCCTCTAAGTAGGTTTGAGCGTTTGGCAACATGGATCACATTATGCTATTGTATTCTATCAGTAACCAACTCTTTGGATATATCAACAACACTCAGTTTGTCTTTCTGTCCTCAAGAAATTTGTGTTTGCTTTATATCATGGGCATGTTCATGCAAATGCATTTGCGGCATTTGATCCAAATCCAAAGTTTTAAAGTGTTCTTATTGGATGTGAGTAGTTACCACTGCTAGTTTGACATCATTCATCGTTACTTTTGAATGCAATACAGGTATACTCATATTTGCTATTTGTTTTTCTTATATGCCATGTAACAAGGTGTAGTAGGAAAGAGTCTTTTCAAAGAATCCTAAGTCATACAAACCCCAACACCTGTGTTTTGGCTAAAAAAAAAACAAAACAAAACAATAAAATGATGCCAAAATGCTTACGTATGCTAAGTCAAGGAATGCAAAAAGGCACACGTTTTCTTGGAGCATGATACGTTCCAAGATATACTGTGATACATGCACATGTTCTAGCATCATACAGTGCAAATTTGACAAAAAATTAGCCAAATACAGGTTATTGATGCCTATGCATTAATCGGGGATGTTACTGGTCTGGCTGAAAAGATACAAAGTTTTTTCATGCAAGAAGTTATCTCGGAAACCCACTCTGTGTTGAAGGCTGTTGTGTATGAGGTATATCAATACATGTTCCTTGCCCATCTTCTCTCTGTTATTACCTAGATTTATCTCTGTAAGTCAAAGAGCATTGAGAATGTGAATTTAAGTATTTAACAATGCCTTTTCCTTGATTGATATGTGAATATGTCTGATGTGGTTCTATGGACTCCATTTGTATGGGAAAGAAAATGAAGTAGAAAGGATACACACACATTTATACCTATGTATATGTATCGTTTGGTATAAGAGTGATAAAAGATAATTTGATGGAACGAAATGACAATTTCAACCCCATTAAAAGGTGAGCAAATATGAAATTGAATTTCATGAGCACAATTCTTTACCACTTATATAAATTGGCAATGCCTGCAACTAGATTTGTTGTTAAAAATTGAAATTTTCTTGAATGTGTACATTATCAGTTTGTATGTTCAACAACAACGACCTTTATCCCACTAGGTAGGATCGATATATATGATCAGGTGGAAAAAACTTGTACAACAAAACAATGGCAACAACAATAAGCCTCATCCCACTACGTGGGGTTGGCTAATTTAGAAAAAAACTTGCACGCTAGAAATAATTGAAATTTGTATTCTAATTTGAGAATTTAGTTCTGACCATGTTGAGATTATAATGTGTATTTGTTGTTAATATGCAAATAACTAGACATATGTATCCCATTTATTCAAAAGCCTATGGGCTGTATTTGAATCTGGCTTATAAGTAAAATTGAAAATCAATAATTGACATGCATACAAATAGAGAATTATAAATACAGATATTTTTTCATGCATTGTATAAAGTCCGAGGTGATTCACGTTTATGGCTTATCAATAGTGTGGAAATATTATACACTATACAAACAACAACAACAACAACAAGCCTTTATCCCACTTATACACTATATTTTATATAATGTTGGACCTATGTCTAGCCCCTAGAGATGAGAAGTGTGTAGTCTTGTGTAGAGCAATCACAAAAATGGGGGAAAAAGCCGTACTTCATTCTCCCCCCTTCTCCCTGATTCAGACTTAAATTAGTGGAGTTCACACTCTTCTCAACCTGTTTTTTTTTTTTTTTTCAAAATGTGTTCCTTTTTTTTTTAAATGTTGCATGTGTGTCCATATGCGTGTAAAAGTTCAAGTTGTGCCCTATATCGGGCTTTCCCCCTTCTTCCAGTTGTCTCCCATATCAAATGAATCTATTGTTATCTTGCATTGATGATACTACATGTAAGTTCCCTCTAGACATGATTCTTGTTACCTCTCGCCTTTTCAATCAAGTGTCTTTATATGAATATCGTTTTAAGTGAGGACTGAAGGATCTGCTCTAGTCCGCAAAGTGGGTAAGAATAATATAAATACTTAATTGCTTGCAATGATAGAAAGTGGTGGTTAAAAACAAAGCATATTGGACAGAAGGGCTCTTGTTTGCTTGATTTAAAGCGTGATATTAAACCTTTTCTTTTGATTAACTTGTTGAAAGACTTGCTCAAAATTAGGATGTTAATCCTTTTTGCAGGATGAGGAGGCACCTTTGCAAAATAGTAGGTACTTTTTTTCTCCGCAAGCATATTTACCATCATCTGACTGCCAATGATAGATCCCTACTTTCATTCAGCTTCATAATTGTTACTTTGATGACAGGCTCACTTACAGTGACTTATGCCTTCAGATATCCGAATCTAAGTTTAGGCCATGCTTATTAAGAACATTAGCTGTTCTGTTTGAGCTTATGCATTCATACCATGAAATCATGGAGTTTCAGCTGGATAGACAGGTAATTTTGCACCTCTTAAATGGATCATTTTATCCCCTCTCCACTGTGCAACATTCCCTCTGTGGAGTAAATATTCTTTTGAACTAGTTAGATCAATTTTGGCATCCAGTGAGCCTATGAACATTATATTATTCCGGAGCACTGGAGATTTCTTTTGCTGATTGGCTCGAAGGTTGATATAGGATGGGGCAAAAGGCAACTGATTAATAGCAGCTTAATTTTTGAAGCCAGTGTGAGAAGATTAAAAAATAAATATTACATGGCAGAAACAGAGGATAAAGCAAATAGTTGTTGATCCGGGAAATTTATAGTTATTTGTCAATGTAGAGGTGACTCAAAATTTCACATGTAAATTGAAAATAAAATGAGAGGACAAAGGATAAAAATATAGAGCCTCTATCATATGCCAAGGCTGGGGAACTTGAAGTGAAATTGTTAAAACTCCATCTTGCTTATGATTAAAGAATGAAATCTCCACTTTTTTTAGATGTTAAGATTTGGAGAAACCTGACACTCAGACAGGGAAATTGGAGAAACCTGAATAAATTTTACCAAAACAGTTGTAGGAATTATCACAAACATTCAGCATTCTAAGGTGCATCTAGTCTTTAGGCTGGAAAGGAGCTAACCATATCTGATGCCTTCATGATTACGGGATCTACAGTTCATTGATAGATGTTATCCAGTCTAATAAAATTGGTCACTTTTATCCTCAGGTCGCAGCAGGCCAAACTTCAAATAAAGACAATGATGTTTCCTGTAGTCCATGCGGGGCTGGGGAGGCTGATGCAGATGTAAGAACTCGTAGCATCTCTTTTTCCGGTTCTGGAGATGAGATTCATGGTTCATCTTCAAGAGGAGAATCTGAAACAGCCAGCTCACTGGTTGAAACTTCCAACACTACTGGTTTACCATGTATAGATTCTCTCGATCCAGTTAATGAGTCTAGAAAGGAGGATAATGCAGCATCAAGTATTGAGTCCCCTTGGTACCATCTGCGCAAAGAAGCTACAGAATTTGTTTCACAGACCCTTAAAAGAGGGCGCAAGAATCTTTGGCATCTCACTACTAGCCGTGTTTCAGTATTGCTTTCTTCTGATGCAGCTTGTACCACAAGCATTCACCAATTCTTGAAAAATTATGAAGATCTCAGTATCTTCATTTTGGCTGGGGAAGCCTTTTGTGGAATTGAAGCAGTTGAGTTTAGGCAGAAGTTGAAGGTGGTTTGTGAAAACTATTACATTACTTTTCATCGACAAAACGTTCATGTAAGTGACCTTTGGGCTTCTCATCTAACACAATTACAAGAGTCACACAATGATGATTTTGAGCGGATAATTTCTGATCTTGTGCACAGAAAATGTAGTGCCTTGTATGGTATATTGAATACAGAATACAGCATGATAAGTTGCTGTTGACTTTTTGTATGGGCTTGTGCCTAGGCTTGTCCATTTCATTGAAATAGCTTAAGCAGCCTGGTTAGGATTGTCACAAGCTCATATACCCTTTATATCTCTTATTAATTTTAGATGTGGGACATTCAATTTCCAGCACTTCCTCTCAAATGTAACTAAACTTGGCTCACTCTCTTTCTAAGTCTAGTTATCATTTGGGCCCCATTTCATTTGTCCGGGCATGTGTATTTTGAGCCTTATGGGTCTTAAGTCAATTTTTCCTTTATTGAGTAGGCAACTTTTCTCTCTTTTTTGAGTCATGGATCTTTCAACAATTAGCTTTTTTTTTTTAAAAAAAATAAAGTACTTCAGTACCATGTTGACTTTCTTTATGGGTTTGTATTGGAACTTGTCTACTTCATCAAATTAGCTTAAGCTATTTGGTTAGGATCTGCAAATTTATTTAGCTTTAATTTCTCTTTTCACTTTTAAATGTGGGACTTTTTTCTTCAACAGTTGCCTTCTGTATCTCCATGGTGTCTTTGAATCAGTGAAGTTGTTCCAGATATTTATAAAATCATTGCGACTTATACATATATGTACATACATACATATATATATATCTATACACACACACATATATATTGCTTTTATTCTTATTTCTAGGCTTGTGTTGAGATACCTTGGTATGTTCTTCTTCACAGATAAGAATTCTTGAAATGAATGTTACTTGTAATAGAATGTAAATTAGTCTAGATTGCAGGCATTTTTTGGATTGTTTGTGAAGGAATATTAAACATAAATAATATACCAAAATATGGAGTTAGGTCAGAGTCTTATCAAGTCTGAATGCAGCAAAATTTACTTGACTACCCACATAAGTTTAGACTATTAGAGTCTAAACTAAAGTGCACAGTAGATTCAATGAAGAGAGAAAGAGAGGGAGGGGAAGAATGAACACTAGGAGATAACTATTCACTCTAGGTGGTTTCTTTCTTCGGCCACCCGCGTCTATTTATAGTAAAGGGGGACGCCACCGTAGTAAAGGAAAATTCAATCGACATTAATTCATCTCATTGTGGAGGGAATAAATTGATTGGAATAATCACATTTATTGCAAAGGAATCATTTCCTGTTTTGGAATTCAATCGGAAATCAATCACGATTAATTTCAGATTCTAGTCAACTCATTATTACTAAAATAATGTCGGATCCACTAATTGCTCTGATATAATGATCCAATTCCCATCGAGGGCGGATCTGCAATTCCAACAGTTTGAATCCGGAGTTTATTGTGTTATGGTTTTGTTCCATGATGTAAAATGTACAATGCCATTCATGACCAGGGGGAAACTATTGCAAAATGCAGAAAAGTAAAATATATACCACAGGGCATTTTACTTTAGATAAATTAGTTGCACTACTTTTGGTATTTTTGACCTAGTCTTTGGAGCTGTACGGTTTCTAAATTGTTTGTGGCTGTTTATATGCCAATTCCTAATGAACACTTTTCTTATCCATAATCTACATAAATGAATTATTTTGGTTGCCTTCACTTTTCAGGCACTCAAAATGGTTTTGGAGAAAGAGATGTGGTTAAAATTACCACCAGATACAGTGCAAATGATCAGTTTTTCTGGACTAGTTGGTGATGGAGCACCTTTGATTTCTTTGTCTAACCGCAAATCAATTAATCCCAGTGGAGTTGACTCTGATAGATTAGTAAACTTGGTTCACAGTCGCAACAGCTCTAGGGAAAGTGGGTTCTCTTATTGGCTTAGAAATGGAAACCCATTTTTGCAGAAATTATCAACCTCTAGAGAAGGTCATTGTTTCTTCCAATCTAATGGATCACCTTATGGTGAACTTGATGGAAATTCGAACAGCAGTTTGTATGGCGATAAATTTTTGCCTGGAAAGAATGATTCCAGTCAAATGAATGGTGCTAATTCAATTTCAGAAGATGAAAATGAGGATCTTCTTGCAGACTTTATCGATGAAGACAGTCAACTTCCAAGTCGAAGTTCAAAACCCAATCATCCAAGAAGAAAGTCATTACATTGTAATGATGAAGAAAATACAGCGCAAACTGGTTCTTCTCTAAGTCTCTTAAGGTGAATTACTTTACATTTCATATTAGTGAGAACAATTATTTTCCTACTTATAACTTTGACAGTGTTTCATACTGGATGTATTGACATCATACCTAAATATGATAGATCTATGGATAAATATGCAAGGCTTATGCAGAAATTAGAAGTAGTAAATGTTGAATTCTTTAAGGTCTGCTCTCTCTACCCTTAAGTGGTTTTCTTCTTTACCTTGTTTTATTTGTTTTTACTTACAGATAAAATCTCAGTGGTACTTTCATTTTTCCTCTAAATTCTTTTTCCTGATTCAGTATATTGTTGCAGGGAATTTGTCAGTTATTTGAGATTTTTTTCAATTTTGTATATGAAACATTTGGTCAGCATAACACTGGTTTCAATGGAAAAGGTTCGTCCGATTATCTTAATTGTAAGTGGCAATGTCATTCTATATTGCCTGCTCAAACATTGGTATTTACATTCAATTTTGAGTTCATTGATATTAATATTAAGTGATCATATCTAATCATAACAAGTAGATCAGCTAAGGACAGCCTTATCTAAAATAGCGCAAGATTGCGATCAGTGGATAAAGCCCCCGTCATCTTCACCTACTTCATCATTTGTACATTCAGAGGTAACACCTGCTGGCCCTCCCGCTCAAATTCGGGTAACTCTGCAGTGACATCTTTGGGTCTTAAGGTATGCCTGTGAAATTATTTCTGGAAAAACGTTCTCATTTTACTATAGTTGTCTTATTCTTTGACTGGATATTGCTTCTTGAATCTGATGGTTAATGTATTGTTCATGATGATTTAAAAAATGCCATGTGGAAGCTAAGTGCAAACTATCAAATTTTGGGCTACAGAAATAATACTACTTTGACTTTTCCTGCCTTTGTTTTTTGTTTTGTGCTTTAATTCACTTGTTCTAGCTACATCATGTCAGAGAAAAAAAATGATGCAAGGCCAATTTATTTGTATCTGGGAAGGTTTTTATTCTATCTTGTGATGCTGTCTGTGATAAGTTTGCAGTTGCTTGTAAACTTTGTTTTTTCCCTTGGTTTGTGGAGTTTTGGTTTTGAATCAAAGATTGAATTGTGTGGTATTGTATGCCTGTGCTCTGTGATGCAGGAAAGATGTGTGGCTGTTGACACTATATCATTTGTTGCTCGAATATTGAATAGATCCAAATCTCATCTCCAATCAATGCTTTTGCAAAGTAACGCTACTGTACTTGAGGATTTCTATCTGCATCTGGTACGTGACATTTAATTTAATATTTAATATTTTAGCTGCAGTAGTTAGGACCTTGTGAAAAGTGACTGTGATAGATCTTTAAGTCAGCATATAAGCTCTTCAAGAAATTTTTTTCTTCTCCAAAAAAATGTCTAGGTAATTGCCTAGTTGGGTTTCAAGGGCTTATTAGAGTTAGGGCAAGCCTCATGCCTTATGGCACGTAAAGAGGAATCTATAAATTAATCGCTAATGAGGTTCTCACATTAATAGTGGAATTTGATCTCATGCCCTTGTGGGGATTGACCAAATCTTTACCAAGTGGATTAACTTTTCTTGACATGACATGTTGGCATGGTACCCAATCATAAGGATTTGAATGTTATGGATTAGATAGCGCTGAAATCCTTAAGAAATGGCAATCCCACTTATATTTTTATTTTCACATAGAAAAATGATTTTCTGCTAAGAATGATAGCTACTTTTGTTTCAATTATAAAGCACCGTTTATCTCTTCATACATTTGGTCATTGTTGTATGAGATTACACGCTTTTAATATTATTTTTCATGGACTAGGAAAGAGAGCTGGCGTTATTCAAACTATCCTTTACCTGTATAATGTGATATGCCAACTACCAGTGGGAGATCATGTTTGGATTGCCTTGTTGCAAATTAATGTTTTAATGGTTTGATTGTTAAGATGTTGTTTGATGAACTTTTCTTTAATGCAATTTGTTGAATTGCCCAACATCAGTTTAATCTGGAAAGGCTGTAGCATGGATGACAATGTCATTGATTAATCGATTTCTTTAGGTGGATGCGGTACCAGATCTAGCAGAGCATATTCATAGGACAACAGCTAGACAACTACTGAACATCAATGGGTAAGAGAATATTTAACGTGCTAGATGTCTACAAGTTTAATTTGGAAATCATCCTGATAAATATAATTTTCAGATTATGAATCTAACTGACATGGCAACAACGTAGTTTCCATGTTGAGCTGTTAATAGCTTGGATAAAATTTCTCAGTGCATGAGAAGGAGGAAATCTATTCTGGTTGCCATCCAGAAAATTAATATTATAATCAAAGCCTTTCCTTAATTTCACTGCATTAGAACTTTTTAAAGTTTAATGTGTAAAATATATATAAATACTGAAATACATGTGCGCGTGTTGAAAATGGAACAACTAAAAATGACACGCATGATTATATTTATCTGTGTATATAGACGTGGCCATGAACAACAATAAGTCAACATCTGATCTGATGTCTTATCAAAAAGGTTAAATCTGCTTCAGTGTGAATCAAAGTAATTTAAGTAAATAATATTTCAATTTGGAGCCTCAAAGTGCAAATGGCTTTTCTTTGGGGGTTGTTTTCATATAGCTTTTTCTGGCATCTTAGAGAATGCAATTGGAAAGAAAAAAAAGTCCTGGGCATTCTTCTGTCAGCTTAAGCTTTTGGGATGAGATTGTATTTTGATAATATTAAACTAGCACGTTTGCCTCCCTAATGTTATAAATTTTTAAAGTAATAGCTAAAATTTTTCAGGTATGTTGAACGTGTTGCCAATTGTAGATGGGAAGTAAAAGAGCTTGGGCTTGAGCATAATGGGTTTGTAATTTTGGATCATCATTATGTTTTCATGTTATGTTACATGTATCACTTATCAATTGTGACCTACAGAATTGTAAGCACATAGAAAGCTTTTGTACAATGGGTTTCTTGTGTTACTTTCATTATTTTATAATGAGCGCAAGGTTTTTTTTTTCTTATGTTTATTGACAAATTGATTTCCATCTGTTATTTTTTAAATCTATTTTTGGGCCTCTTTCCTATCATTTCATGGGAGAAGAATTTTCTATTTAGATCTTTTATTCTGATGGTCTTATTTCCTGCTTTTCTTCATAGAAAATTTTCTCCCTTTAGCTATCATGCCTTTGGAATGCTCCTTTTTCTATGTTTGCTCTGGGCTTTTTCCCCGGCTTAGATGTCTGGTCTGGGGTTCACTCTGTTCTATTTTAGTTCTTTTAGATGAAGTCCTAATTATTCGTCAGACCAAAAATTAAAAGAGAGAAGGAATTCAGAGGGGACAATGAGATAACCTCCTTAACCAAGAAGTCACCAGTAAAAGATCTCTCCACTGCTGTGGATTTTGAGATTTCATGAGTATAATAATGAGTTGGGGCATCGGAGGGATGCAAAAGGGACTAATGCTTTCCAACAGCAAATCTAAGGATCAGGGATTTCTATTGGTTTGGTTTAGACATAGTCTAATCTTAACAAGTCTCTTGACTGCATCCAACGTGTCATTATTGGTTTAAGCCAGTTTACTTCCACGTGAATTTGATGCCAGCATTTCTTGTATCATATTGTTTATCAATGCAAAGCTGTAGTTTTCCCCTCAAAAGTGATATTTTCCCTTAATAATATTCTAATTTCTTTCTTTGGTTCTGACTTAAATGGTTGTCTGTATAGGTATGTTGATTTGTTGCTTGGAGAATTTAAGCACTATAAAACACGTCTTGCTCATGGGGGAATTCGTCTAGAGGTATTGCGCATACTCATCATCATTATGCATCTGCATCCTATCTTGTTACGTGTAGAGTAATGCCACTCAACAACATCAACCAACCTTATCCCACGTTATGGGAGAGTAATGTTACTCACACAACATTAAAGTCATGACTAGATACAACTGCAAACATTGCGGTATGAATCGAAGTGTCACCTTAAACTTCTTCTATCAAACTTATATGCAGCCACATTTGCTACTTTGGCCAGTTGTAGAGTTATTAGCATAATTCTTGCATGAATCACATGTTTATGTTGATAAACTTGCCTACTAAATGTGTAAACGTCTGTAAATGTAGATTCAAGACCTCCTACTGGAATACGGGCTTGAAATTGTGGCGGAAACTCTTGTAGAAGGACTTTCACGGGTTAAGAGATGTAGTGACGAAGGACGAGCTTTAATGTCATTGGATCTGCAGGTGATTTCTGAACCATGACCATGTTATATTAGTGCTCTGAAAAGGTTGGATTTGGTGTTGATACGGAAGGTTTGATAATTATGAAGATTGAATCTTAATCTGCCGTGGGGTTTTATGTGATCAGTCGTTCTGAAAAAAGTTGCTGGTGTCTGAATTACTCCTCAAAACCTAAATTCCGATCGACCAAACCTTCCTTTTTCATGTTTAACCATAATCAAACAATTTGTAGACAAGTGACTCTTTTTATGTAAACTTTCAAGACTATATTCTATTTTAGGATCTGAATAGTAATAAATTTTTCAGGTCATTGGATTTCTTTTGGGAATAAATATGAATTTTCATTGACGTAGTCCAAAAATTATTTTGTAGTTTACCTTCTTTTAAGTTGATGTGTTGTTAGGTTCGTTATTTTTCCTCCTTGCAGGTTTTAATCAATGGACTGCATCATTTTGTGTCCATGAATGTGAAGCCCAAGCTACAAATGGTTGAAACCTTCATTAAGGTATGGAATAAGCATGACAACACGTTTTCTGATATTTTGTGTTGATGCCTGACTTATTTTTTGATTTTGCACAATGCGAGTGTGAAATTTATGTTGAGTGCAAACAGAGGCATTACTTGTGGATTCATCTTTGCCTTTCACTCTTAAACCAGGCTTACTATCTTCCAGAGACAGAATTTGTGCACTGGGCCCGTGCGCACCCCGTAAGAACGTTCCATGTCTATTGCATCATTACACTTTCTGATTGCTCAAGGCTTTAATGAAACATCTCTTCTTTGCAGGAATACACTAAAAGTCAGATTATTGGGTTGATAAACCTTGTTGCTTCGATGAAAGGTTGGAAGAGAAAAACCAGGTTGGAAGTCTTGGAAAAGATTGAGTGAGCTTTATTATTATTATTATTATTATTTTTTTTTTTTTTGGGTTTTGGTTTTGGGCAAAGCTTATGTCAGAAGATTTTGTTCCTTTTCTCCTTTCCTTTTCATTTCGGCAGCTGTTTTGGGGGCAGTGTATATTGGATGTTATTTAATTGCAAGGCTTGGGAGTGCTTTCCAAGTCGTGTATCTTCTGGCGTCCTGTAATATAATAATATTTTTTTTGGATTAAATAATATAATATAATGATAATCTTGTCAAAATAAGCTGTAATTATTGTCTTGATTCTCATGGTATAATGAGTTTTAAGTCGGTTTAGTGAAATTCTTGTTCTCAGATATACGAAGAAATTTGTGATGTCATTGTTAGACGCCATCTAATTGTGTATTTGATTCCATAAAATTCCATTGGATTGAAAAATTTTCGGGCAGCGAACTTTGTGAGAGCTTGGTATGAAATTGTTATTCGTCAACAATTTCCAATCACGAGGAACAACAAAAAAATTTAAATAAACAATTTCCTTTTTCACCAAAAAAAAAAGCGAACGATTTGCATTTAATTTTTTTAATGATGAGGGATTTGAATAAATTTTAAAATGGACTAAAACATAGAAAAATTCAGAAGTTTATATATTTATGTCTGAAGTTAATTTGATTGTACAGATATTAGCTTATAGTTTGACTTTTGTGTTAGAAGTTTTTCATATATAGAGACTATAAAAACTATCGTAGTTATTAAAACTATAATTTTAAGTTTCTAATAAGTCCATATTTTCGATGGTCGTTACTCGTTAATGTGAAATTATATATGCATAATATGATGGTGAGTTGTTAGCTAACTCTCAAGGCTCTAGCTAATTTTATTTATTTATTTATTATTGTTGCTGCAGCTGCGAACATGCATTTGCATGCAATCTAGACCTTTCATGGTTTGGGTTGATGTATGGATATTTTGTTGATGCTTCCTTTTTTCCCTAAATCCCGAATTAATTTGTTCAACTAAGGTATGTTTGTTTAAGATTAAAAAAATAAGTAATTTTTAAGTAGCTTAGAGATTTTATAAAAAGAGATTTATTTTATAGAGATTTTATAAAAGTAAATATTATTTTATGTTTAGTTAGAATAATAAAAAAGTGATTATTAATTAATTAATTTTAAATTTATGATATCTACCTTAATTTTTGTTTTATAAAAATAATTTATTATTATATTATTTTAAAATTGTATGATATTTTTGCGCATTCATCTTTTTAAAATACTCTCTTTCATCTATTATGTTAGATTATTTTTAAAATTACTCAAAATAATTTTTTAAAATAATCAAAAATCTTTTTTTTGGATTTGAATTATTTTAAAAAATTTAAACAAACGTTGTAAAAGCTCACAAAATAAATTATTTTTTAAAAAATAAGTAATTTTTTTAAGCAAAAAACTAAACCAGCACTAAATAACAGTAGATTAGGGATTAGCTTCTAGGCCTATAATCTGGGCAATGAGAAACCCAATCCACCATCAATCTATTCACGGAACCTGATTCAACTCTCGAAAATCGGTGACCAGCACCATAAAATTTTGCTCGAGGGTAAAAAAGCATAGAATATATGTGCTCGAAAAAGATGAGACTGTAAACAATAAATAGCATTTCTGTAGGCGATGACTAGTTTTGCAGTTGTATGGTACTGTTGTAGACGTACTTTTCTTGTTGTCTCTCATTTCTGTTGAACAGTACTGATGAAGAATTCAGTTTCTTGTACGCTTATTGCTTGTTATTGTTTCTTTGTCTTGCAAGTTAAGAAGCTGCTGGTGACTGTGTAATCCCACCCACCATGTTTAATGCTACACAAGGCTGATCAGTGGGTACCTGCATCAAATAAATTGTGAGGTGACAAGCAACAAGTCTCTGTTTTTCTAATAACATGTTATTTGATTCCTTGTGACTCGGATTCTGTCCTAATTTATGTTTTCAATTTCAACGTTCAAAGTACCCACCATTCACTCCCTTCATAAATGCCTATCCTCCTACCCTTACCTCAAAAAATAAACTTTCAGCGTTTATTACGTTGAGTATTTATGACATTGCTCCCTCACAAAACCTGGATTACTAGAAGATTTTACTTGTAATCCTAAGATGATCTACCTTCTACATTAAGCATAATGAAAGCTTATTTCATTTCAAGTTCAATACACTTTTATAGTTTTTTGCATGAGCGGTAATATATTTTTGTTCTTCAGTATTTTGTAATTTTGGACTAGTAAAAGGAGGAAAATTCTTGAAGTTTGTCTGATCATGTCAGTTTGACGGAAAAACTGGCACAAACACGTAGGTCTGTGGCATTGGCAAGCTTGAAATTTACGGGTATTTTGCTTGTGGTTATAGTATAGATGGCAAGAAACACGCGACAAGTCAGTGATGTATTATCGACGATGGGATTGAAATCGAAGATGATTGTGACTTACAAAATGACCAGCTCCAAGAATCCAATAAAAGTGCAGGTTTTTGTATGACTTCACAAAGCCTTTCGTGCCTTGGTCATTTTTACAGTAGAGAGGTATTCTATCCTTCTTCAAGAAACTCTTAAGCCCTTCCCACCTACACAAAGGATTTTTTTTTAAAAAAAAATATATATGTATATGGAAAAAGAAAACAAAAATGGTTTCCCGTTTGCTTTTGTCAATCTTGAAGGGCAGAATTATAGGGTGAGAAAGAGAGGGAAACAAATTTACTTGAGTTTCTTAAGCCAAGCTTCAGTTCCCTTTGTTGCACAGATCAGATCAACCTACATCAGATCAGGATTCCAGAAACATCAGATATATAATTACCTAGCATAGACACACACACACACACACACACACAAGAAGGAAGTCTGTCGTACATGAAATTTTCGGCATTTAAAAACTTGTCCGTAAAATATTTATTCATATGTAAAAAAATTAAAATTTCAGTGTAGTTATATGTCTGACATATATTACAATTTTTGGATAAAAAACTCATTTATCATCATTACTAAATGCGGCGGAAAAGAAAAAACTTACTTGTCCATTGTACACAGTCACATTGACTCCCTTAGCTAACAACTCATCGACCTGCAAGATTCGTATTAAAACAGAGTCGTAAGTATATAACAAAGGAAGTTTATTGGCATCAAGGAGAAAAATGTGGAATGTTTATTGGTGTCGATGACTGTTTTCAGTTATATGAACCTAAATTAAGCGTTTTTGGCAAGAAAATAAGTGATAACATCAAGTAAGTAATTAATAGAATAAACGCGTGAATTTCTGAGTTGGGTTGAAAGTTAGAACCAAAAAGTTCCAAGCTTTATGCTTTACATTTATCTTCTTACCTCATTAATTCTGGGTTTCATGAAATCACCTTGAAGGTTTGCGAAAACCCTACGGGACTGTCCTACCCATCTGTCATCACAATAACCATGTGAACGTGATCAAGTCAATTGTTGAAAGTGGAATCATTTGGGCATAGTTCTCTTATATAGTGTAGGGAAACGCACGCACACGTACCTAACATTTTCAGGAATGATCTTTAACTTTTTCTTTATGACACCATTTAACAAGCTTCCAAGACCACCACCAGAAGATGACTTCTTTGAAGTTAGATAGTTTGAGTATCGTTTCAGTGCTATTTCTCTGTACGATCCCAGCTCCGCCGTTGCTGACAAAGCTGGAGAATTGCTTTGATAATCCTGCAGGAAATTGTAGAAGTCCTGGAAATAAATGAAATATTAAAGACTTTTCAGTATAGTTGTATTGTAGAAACTTAGCACATTTTGGATTCCAAGATATCCCATTAAAAAATATTCTATTCACCACATTGTTGCTGTTTGCGGTAATGACATTCTCAAGTTCGCTCCATGACCTGGTTGCTTCAACAAATTTTCCCTTCTCAATTTGTTTCTTGATCTTCCTCGCTAACCTGTTCTTCAAAATTTCTACGTTAAATTTCTCCCCAAAAAAAATACATACGTACGTAAGAACGTACGTACGAATATATAAATACCCGTTTACACAGTGACAAATACTATCCAAGAAGATGAAACAGACGTACCTGTTTGATTTTTGCAGCCCATTGTCATCAAGTCTTGAGACGTCTTTAAGAAGAGGGCCCCATGAGAACTGAAATTGTCGGGTTTGATTGTAAAGAATAATAAGAAAAGATGAGAAATTGCATATTGAACTGCTGTGGCGAGTTCGACAAGTGACATGGTAATAAATTATTTTGCATTTATCTTCGAAAAGATCTAACAATGAGAGTTCAAGCTCCGCGAATTAATACCAACAAAAACTGGTGGCAAGACCAATTCCTGCACTTACCACGAAATCTTCAGGGGAGATCCAACTGTCCCCTAATGCCACACCTGCGTACGGCAATCTCATGTTGTTAGTGATACGATGCATCAGTTTCTGAAAATCATAAAGAACAGATTAATCTCATTCATTAGATTCAGAACTACTGCGAAGAATGGACTACCTCCAAGTTTGAGTTTCAATCTCCTTGCTTCAATAGCTTTAAGAATAGATAAGCCAAGAGTGACCGCATATTTTCCACCATATGACTCTGCCACGAGGAACAGGGGACTCTTTTGGAGGCTCTCATTTCGATTAAATATCTCAATTAACAATGTCGTCAGGTCAGTGGCTGCTTCCTCGTCTGTTTTCACGAAGAGGTCTTTGTGTTCCACAAAGCTGAACCCTGTCCCAACTGGGTTATCCTGCATTGTAATAGAACAAAGAAGAATTGACCCAAATGAGCCACACCACAGGCAAACCAAATGCGTCCCTGAAAAACAGAGCCTTAACGCTTACCACAAACAAGAGATCTGCTTTTTGAAGCCATGTGGAGTTCCTTGGCTTCAAATTGGTATCTAAAGGTCCAACCTCCTCAAAATTCCCAATCCCAACCCCTGAAGCACCCTGTTGATCATTCACACAAATTCAGGAATTTTTTAATGTTATTATCACCAATGCCGGTAATTTCAAGGGTATATTCTTCTTAGTAGATTCACCAACTTTCCTCGTGAATTCATACACATAAAGACATTTTAAGGCCTTCGTCGCCCCGGCCTTGGTCAATTTATTTTTATTTTTTTTCCTTGAAGAATTCTCCGAGAAATGGAATCTAGTCTAGATTGTTAATTATGGAGTGATGCTATCGCTTGTTATGTATTGAGCTAACTATTTCAGCAAGACAAGTTCTGAAAATTAAAAACTTTTCAATGGTTATTTCAAAATTGAAATTCTTCGGAGAAAACAGAGTCTTGTTCAGTTTGTTGCTGAATCCGACGATACTTACAGGTCCTCCCTGCAACCAGAGAATGATAGGCCATGGCTTGGAGGGATGTTCCACTCTGTAGGGACTTCTGTAAAGCCACCAGAACATGTGGGCTTCTGTAATATAACACATTGATGATCTTTTTACACAAACGGAAGAAGCAAAATGACCCAAGTGAACTACGAAATAATGCATTTTAGCTTACTGGGTCTGACTTGAACATATCCCCATTCCTCTGATCCATCTTGGTTTCCAAGAGCTGTAGCAGTTCCTGCGTGAAGAAGGAGACCAAAGAACAGAAGAGGGACGACGAGGACGCAGAGGTTTTCCATTTGATGAATTGGGAACTAGAACAGAGTGAATTAGCAGGGAATGAGGTGGCAAAGTTATATACACGAGGCGTTTATTCGAATGGGAAGCATGTTTTGTCAGTGCCTGTAACAGAATCCTCGCAAAATATGGAAGCCTAGGATATGCGTTATTTAAGTTGAAATAAAACCAAAAATAGGTGGCAATATAACGTGTGCTTCCTCCTTCAGGAGTTGAGAGTATTTAAAAAAAAAAAAAAAGGCATTACTCAAAATGAAGTCCCTCGTTCTGATGTAAAAATGATAAAATTCATTCATACGTGCCCTGTGGTAGTCGGCGGAGGATAAAAACTAAAAGCTTCCTCGAGAAACAGAGTTATACGAGGAATATATTAACTTATGGTTATGGTTTTATTATTATCATCATCATCATCATCACTACAACTGCTGTTTAGTTAACGTATTTTTATTAAATATAAAGAGATATTATATAGGATTCTGCTTGCTACTGGTTCAAAAGGAGAAACCTAACATGAAGGAAGAGGTTAGTGAAAGTAGATAGGGCTTGGAACGGTTAGGTACAGAGTGGGAATGAGGATTTGGCGTACAAGAGATTCCAACGAAAAAGTTGACTTATTCCTCGATAGGAAATAGTCTATACGCTGTTTAATAGTATAAATTGGTGTAATGAACGTTGGAAGTGAATTATTATTTCTATTCTGCAAATAAGTTATAAAACCCTAGGAGTATAGAGTGAGAAAAGAAACAAGGTCATGAATCAAAGCAGCTTACGTATAAACAATAACAACAACAACAATAATAAACCGTATCTCATTAAGTATAATCGACTATGTAAATTGTCTGGTTTCGTTGTGCTCTATCCATCCAAAGACCAAAACCCCTTATATCTATATTTAATTAGAAAAAGAAGCAGGGGAAAAAAAATGCGTGAGCCCAACTTCTTTACCATTTTGAAAGTGTAATAAATGATCATTTACTAAAATACAAGTAACTGCAACAATAATACACTATACTGAGACGCAGAAATTCTTATGTGCCGCGGGTTGCTCTGTTCTGTTTCAACGCGGGTGTGATCTGATCTGGACGATGCATATATATAATATGCACCTCATACCCCTTGAATTTCTATCTCGCATACGTATTTGCCATTAGAATAATAGAATATGGAAGTTGAAATATTAATAGAGTGACATATATTTTTAGTTCATTTAAATTTAATAATAACATTTTCTCGGGAGAAAATTCTACAGAGAAAATTATTTTCAGATCACACACATATAATCTGAATTACAAAATTATTCTTAAATTTCAAGTCCTTTATTGAAATTATCAATATTATTAATTATTACTGCTTAATTAGTTATCAATTAAAAACTCCATGTGCAATCATCCAATAGTAATATAACAATTTCAATGTAGTAAATTAATAATTTTAGTAAAGAAAATGAAACTTCGGAAGAATTTTATTATTTTATAAAACTTCTCTACACATTAGTTTTTTGTGAGTTTGAAAGTGATTTTTTCTTTTTTTTTTATTACAACAAAATGGAAACGCTCCACGCTGGATATTATTTCAGTCAGGAGGAGAAATATCGACTCTCTGGAACATGGAAAAAGTAACTATAATAAAAGCTGGGGAAATAAATAAGGATAATTATGAGTCATAAATGGCACCAACCACATTATTGTTTAATTTGCTTACTTTAGTGGTTGGTGTTAATAACCATTAAGGCATCAACCAGCCTGGTGAGGTTCAATATGGTAAAACAGATTACTACATTCTATTTATAAAATAGAAATAATACTTTCTCTAATCTTATTTATAAGGTAGAGAGAGAATTTTTTTTATTCTTTTTATAAATTACATTGTTAAATTTTTATTATAAATTTTTTTTACATTAATTAAATATTGAAGAGAAAAAATATATTATTAAAGTATATATATTTAATAGAGATAAAGTTGAATACTAATTAAATTTTAAGGTAGAATTAATGAATTTTAAAATTTTTTTAATACTGGTGAAATATATTGAAAATGATTTATAAATAAAATAAAAGTAATATTTATTTTAATTCTATTTATAAGATACTTGTGTTTATATGTACTCTGTTGAATGTTTGGATAACTTATATTATGATTCAAAGAGATTATTTAATTTTATCTGCCTGGCAAATCATGAAAGAGTCAGGAATGTCAAACAAACCTGGCCGGCGAACAACGAAGGTTGTTCAACTCTTATGATTCTAGACTTTCAGTTCAACTGCTTCTGTTATTGGGTATTCGTCACCATCTAGAAGTGATGCTTTCTGAATTGTGATTCAAAACATGGGTTCTTCATGCAGGCCAAGTATCCTGAAATTCGTCTCTGAGGTCAAGATGAGGGGTTGATTTGTTAATATTTTGAGAAGAATCTTAAAAAATTAGTGCTTTGGCAGCTTTGGTTTTAACTACTTGGCAAAGCACTGAAACAGAGGAGACAAAGGACGTTGTTTGGGAACAACAACTTTGAGACAACAAAAGACTTTTAATCACTATATGAAGTGACATGTTTTAAAAGTTGGTAATCTGACCAACAGATTATTAAAATTAAATGTGAGAATTGAGATAATGTATTTAATCAACCATGTGAAGTGACAAGTTTCAACCAGGGTGGGTGGGCGATGCCAAAGCCAAACCCCATCGGAGTGGCCGTTCATAATTAGCCTCGTTAAAAAAAAAAAAAAAAATCATTAAGTTGGTTGTAGTTGAAATAAAACGATGATGGAGCGATCGCATCATTTTTTTTATATAATTATTTAATTAAATTAAATTTAAATATTATCAAACTCAATTGGAGATAGCTCTCTTAAAAATATTTTTATATCAAATTCAAACTCAAAATCTTGTGCTTAGGTGGTTATAATCCATTTCATCAAGATCAACACTGCTTGTTGGTGGTGGGTACATCACTTTAGTCCTTTGAAAAATTTGATCTTCTTTGATTTTGACATATACTCTCTCTGTTCTTAAATATAAAATATTTTTTAAAAATTTAATTTATTTTTAAATATAAAAAATATTTTTTAAATAATTAAATAATTTTATCCTTATCTTAAAAAATAAGATATATTATTAATTATATATTTTTTTATTACTATCATGATATTAATTATGATATTATTAGAGATAAAACTGAAAAATTATTATATTTTTATTTAAATTTAATTAAATAATAAATTTTTATTATATACGTGATTTAATTAAAAATATTTTATATATAAAAATGAAGAGCGTTTAGATTGTCATATTTTTGTTAAATCAAGAATGTGAGAACATGAGGGTGGAGTTAAAAATGATTCAACCAGTTCAACAAAAAAGCTGCGACATTTTTACTCAAAAGTTTAATCGGGAAGGCATTAAATACAGCTGGCTATTAAGTGATGATTGTTTCTGGGCCAAGGATGGGGACACTTTGATGAAGTGTTTTTGAGATTTGGCATTGATTGCCAAGCCATGTGGTCAACAAAAAATTCCATGATCACCAACAGAAAGAAGAAGAAGAAAATTCACTCCTTCGCTTTATCGTTTTCTAAGCTAAGTGCTAAAACATGAGTGGTTAACGCAGCCCTTTTGGGATTAATAAATAAGCATGTCCAGAAGAAGAAGAAAGTAAGGAAGACCAATATCAGTGTTATATTCCGAATTTTGACGACATTGATGACCCAATGGTGAACATGGCATTTGCATGTGATCCAACAGTAACTTTGGCCTTTGTTTTAATTTCAGGTTATAATTTTAAACAGGGTCAAAGTCAAACGAATGTACTATAATCAAGTCGATTCATTAATCATGACGATGATGGGCTCCGAACCAAAGCGGCGAAATAACTTCCATGCAACACTGGGTTCGTGAATGGTGAGTATTTGATACCCAAAAAAGAACGACATGTGTATAATCCTTTCACAGAAAAGAGAAAAGAGAGGTGAGCGTGGTGAAAGGAGTGAAGAAGCATCTATATGTCGTGAATTTGTGAGCTTTATGCTCTTCTTTGTTGGCCACGAGAGTCTTCGAGAGCTACTTGAGTTGTTTGTCGCTCATCAGTATCGCACAAAGTCTTCAATACCTTCGTAGACACCTTCATACCAACCCCTATGATCTTGTTTCTGTCTTCCTTTGCTTTCCCCTCCTCTCAATCTCAATTCATCTACAATCTGATCTAACCTCTATGTTCAACTTTTTGACAATCATGGACAAAACTCATTATGCTGGACATCAACTTTAAGGTTTGAGATTTGGAGGCCGCCAGCCCACACGATACTGCCTGCCCAAGAGACGTCACTTTGTAGCGATGTTGCAACTGGCCTTGGGCTTTAATACTTCTATTTAGTGGGCTACTTTGGACCTTTTAAAGTTCATAAATGACAACAAAATTGGTTCTTCACCCTCCGTGTCAACAGACAACACTGTTAATTTCAATCCATCTCTTTAATAAGCGATTGTTTTTTAAAATGGGTATATATGAAAGCGATTTGCACCCAAGGGGGCAAAGGTATAAAACTCTCATTCTCAAGCAATTGGCCACTTTGGCCCCCCAAAAAAGAAAACTCTCATTCCTGGCTTGCCCATTGGTACCAAGGGAAAAAGTGATTTTATTGTTAAACCAGATAGGTGGATTTCATGTGTTACACAAAATTTGAAAATTGAATCATATTATTTATAATTTTTTAAATAGTACTGCATGCTTCAAATTTTATACGATATATTAATATTAATATATTGATTATATTATTTTGAAGGGTGATTAAAAGAGGCAAGCTGTGGGTGGGTTTGGTGTAGCCTAACGTTATATTTGCACGTGGGCTATCTAAAAGTTTAGACATGACGATATCTCACCCTTTGTACATATCACTCGCTCCTTTTTCCTTTACACCGCATCGCAAGTCAAATGCATTTGATTCAACCACTGAGAAGAAATATGCCTAGAACAAAACGAGTGGTGGATTCCAACGTAACCTGCCAAACACGCCCTAACTCTCTTCCAAATCCAACGATCCACGATCCACCTAACCTACCAGACCCTGCAATGTTCACCGTCCCTCCCTATTCCCTAACACCCTGTTTTCCACTTTACTTAATCCACTGTTTATTTCCCTCTCAATCCTTCTACATGTTACTCCTTCGCCTTCGGCTTCTTTTAGTTTGGCTAATTGCCCACGCTCCCCCCACCCCCCCCCCCCGGCCCTGTCCCTGTCTGTGTGTCTGGACATCATTACCAACCTTTACAATCGACCTCGGTTATGGCGATGCATACCCATACCAACAACGCCAACTTTAGCGTCCGTTGTGTTATTTTCTTGTCCTTTTGATCAATTTCTTGTTGGTTTCGTTCTGTGTCAGGAAGCAATGTTGGTGCCGCCATGGCTGGAACCACTGTTATCGACCACATTTTTCACGATATGCCAATCCCATATCAGCTTACCCAGAAACGAGTGCAACATGTTCTGCATCGATTGCAGTCACCGATCAGCCTTTTGCTTTTATTGCAAGTCGATTTGGCACCAACACCATCGAGTAATTCAGGTGGGTGATAATTAAGCGATCGTTCTGTCGGTTCTTCCATGTCTGTGTTGGTTGATTTTGTTTTCGGAGGACTTCAGGTGGGGGTAATTTGTGGGGACTGAATGCAGATAAGGAGGTCTTCGTATCACGATGTTGTCAGAGTGTCAGAGATTGACAAGGTTTTGGACATAAGTGGAGTTCAGACATACGTGATTAACAGTGCCAAGGTCATTTTTCTGAACGAGAGACCTCAACCTAAAACCAATTATGGCGGTAAAAGCAGTTCACATTTATGCAGAATATGCAGGAGAAGTCTTCTGGACCCTTTTTGCTTCTGTTCTTTGGGATGTAAGGTTGGTCATTCGCTTCATCCTTTAACTCTTTCTGCATAAATATGTGTGTGTGTATTCTCTCTCTGTCTTTGATTCTTTTGTTGTTTTGGTTGTCTTTCTTTCTTGTTTAGGAGTTGAACGCAGAAACATCAATAGCTTTCTTAATAACAATCTTTATTAACAATGTCGTTAATTATGATCCCGAAGTTCAACTAATAATCGCCAACTGTACGTTAAAAAACCTGGTTGTCATGAGAAAATTACGGTGCGAACAAGTTTGCACAAACGTTGCCTAAACTTACTCAAGTGTGTCTGGTAAAGTTCTTCTACGAAAAGAATTTAATAATTTTTAAAAAGGGTCAAGTTTTTTTGGTCAAGTTTTAGACCATGAAGAAAAAAGAAATAACTATTTGTCAAATTTTTAATCTTATCAATATTAATTATATTAAATGTTATTATTAATAATTAAAAAACATTATTTTTTGTCAAAAAATTTTATTAGATAAACAGGTATGTGATGTCGATATACAACTCTGAAGAATTTGACTAATGAAAAATGAATTTAATGATAACAGCTTGTAGGAATAAAGAAGAACAAGGAGAGGAATAAGAAGTTGGGGTCAACAGGAAAGAGAGGGGAAGAAGAGAGAAGAACATTGGGACCATCAAAGGAAGATGATGAGTTTGGGGAAGGAAATGAGATCAGCGGCAAGCAAAGAGACAGGCTGCCTCCGCTGCAGCAAGCTTACTCAAATTCAAGGAGAAGAAAAGGAATACATCAGAGGGCACCATTAGGGCCATGAAGAAATTTAGATATTTAAATTTGCTTTCTTTAACTTATAATTTTGACGTTACAGATATATATATGCTTGAAGCTTCATCCTAGCTTCTGAATTGGTCCGAGTATGAAGGAAATAATAATATATACATTCAGCTCATTGGTTGAGATCCCCCATGTGGGCAAAAAAGTCAAGAGCTTAGGTACGTGACTTTTGAGCATATGATGCAATGGCCTGGCCGTGGCTGCAGATTGATACATAATGCAGTTGCTTTACAATTGCATTATGATTTGTGAGCATGGGTGCTAGGTGTAAATATACCCTCCCAATTTCCTTTCCATATTTGTGAACATGTGACTGCAAGCGTTCTGGGAACATTTGCTTATCTGTTCTCGTGCTTTCATTATCCTTTTTGTCTTCTATATCTGGCTTACACATGTTACCGTTCTTGCCTTTTATCCATCTCAACCACTATACATAAAACAGATTTTTATTAACTTTTTTATTTCTATTGAAGACTTGATTAGAAACGCCTAAAAATTGTGGTCTTTAGTCTTAATCATTTTTGGAATATGCATGTGAAAGCTATTAGAGATGAGAGAGAGAAACTAAAAACTGATTGAAAAATGTTGTATCTATTGTTGAGATGAAGGGTACGTTATATACACAAAGAAAATAGAAAATACAATAATGATTAATAATTATATAATAATATCAAATAATATCTCCTAATAATGATTGAGACGTATACACAATAATGATAGAAAATATTTGGAGAATATTCTAGATAACATCCTCCCTCAAACTCAAGATAGCTTAATAGAGAGCAACTTGAGTTTGTCTATCAAAAATTGAAAGCAGTCTAGATAAAAAAATTTTGTAAACAAGTCCGTTGGATGATACTTGGTTCAAATTAGAACAAGTCGAATGGTGCCTTGAACAACATGCTGCCAAGTAAAGTGACAATCAATGTCAATGTGTTTGATCTACTCATGAAACATATCATTATGAACAATCCTAATTGTAGCTTGACTATCATAATAAATACCTGTGGAGGAGCTATGAGATGCTCCCAACTTATGAAGTAACCAACGAAACCAAAGTACCTTAGCAATAATGTCCACTAGTGCACAATATTCTGATTCAATACTAAAGTTAGAGGCTAATGTCTGCTTCTTACTTCTCTAAGAGATAAGGGAATGATTGAGGAAGATACAGAAACTTGTTGTAGATCATCGATCATCACGATCACCACCCCAATCAGCATCAGAGTAAGCTCACAGCGTAAGAAAAGAGATAACAGACAAGTGAAACCCATCATACAGAGTGCCTCTGATATACTGAATGATCTGAAGAACTACTGCATAATGAGTTGTGCGAGACTCAGATATAAACTGGCTAGCAACACTGTATAAACAATGTCAAGATAAGTGACAGCAAGATAGATGAGGCCCCCAACTAGCTGGCGATAATGGGTGGGATTATCTAACAAGGTGCCGTTAATGAAAATATAATGAACATTCGATTCAATAGGAGTAGTTTCAATCTCCTTATCAGAAAGTGAGCTCAGGATATCAAATTGGTAGCATACTTGACTTGAGATAAAGATATACCATCACTCCCATGGTGGATATCAAGCCTAATAAAATAGTTTAGTCTACCAAGATCCTTCATTTCAAATTGTTGGCCCAAATATGTCTCGAGCTCTTAAACTCTCGTATCATCACTATTTGTGATAATCATATCATCAACATACAATGGCAACAGAACAATAACATGAGCAGTGGATCGAATAACAAGAGTTGAGTCGTGAGGATTATAAGAAAACTCTAATTGACTCATAGTGTTACTAAATTTAACAAACCATGTGCATGGAGCCTGCTTGAGCTTATATAGAGCTCGACAAAGATGATAGACCTTATCTTTTGGATGTTGATACCCAGATGGAGGCTTTATATACACTTCTTCTTCTAGATCCCTATTTAGAAATGTGTTTTTAACATCCATATGGTAAAGAGGTCAATGCTTAATAACATCAATGGCTAGAAGGCTACAAACAAAAGTCATACGAGTAACAAGTGCAAAAGTTTTCTCATAGTTAACACCATACTTCTAAGTGAATCCTTGGGCCACCAAGCGGGCCTTACGTTGCTTTAAAGAGTCATCAAAATGAGTCTTGTTTCTGTAGACCTATTGACACCCAACCAGAGTTTTACCAAGAGGTAAGATCAATAAGATCCCAAGTATGTATTTTGTCCAGGGCCTATAATTCATCATTTATGGCTTGCTACCAAAGGGGATCACGAGAGGCTTCGTTAAAGGATATGGGTTCTTAAAACGGTAGAATGGTGGAAAACAACAGTAATCATTAAGGTAAGAAGGAGGATTACATGATTGGGCTGAGAGTTTATAGATGATATGAGCTTAGTAGGTATGACTTGTGTTGGAGGAGCAATAGGTGTGACGGCAAGCACATTTAAAGTGAGCACAGTGTCAGTCATGGAAATGAGCTCAATAAAAGAATCTATACTTAAGTCACTAGGAAAAAGATCAATAGAAATATCTGTAAAAATAGAAGGTAAAGAAGACGAGAATGATGAGAGATCGGTTAAAGATAAAACTTGATATTTTCTCAAAAGACAACATGCCGAGAAATACGAATATAGTGAGAGAGAGAATCCTAACAACGATAACCCTTATGCTTAAAAATAATAACCAAGAAAACAACAAACATGAGAACGAGCTTAAAGTTTGTTTGTCTCATAAGACGAAAGAAGAACAAAGCAGGCATAAGTAAAAAACTTTCAAAAGACTATAATAGGGAGGATAATTATGAATATGCTCAAAATTAGAAATGTTATTAGTGACAGGAGACAAGAGTCGATTGATGTAAAAGACAAAGGTTAAGGCTACTCCACCCTAAAACCATTCGAGACAAGAAGAGGAAATGACCAATGCTCTAACAGAATCAAGAATATAATAGTATTTATGCTCAGCATGATCATTCTGTTGAGAAGTATAGGGACAAGAATATGAAGAAAAATACCCTAAGAATCAAGAAAGGTGTGTAATCTAGAGTCATGATATTCTAAAAAATTACCATGATGAAAATTTTAGATAACTTTAGAATATTGAGTGTGAATCATAATAGCAAATTTGATATAAAGTTCAAGTAACTCATATTAATGTTTCATCATATAAATCCAGGTAAAATGAGAAAAGTCATCAATAAAAATTACAAAATATTGAGATCCTCCCATAGAGGAAGTAGGTGTAGGACCCCAAATATTAGAATGAATAAAGTAAAATGGAGAAGCAGCAAAAAAAATCATTTTTATGAAAAGACAAAGCAAGTTGCTTGGCAATCTAACAAGAGACACAATGCAAAGAATGACTATAAACATGACCTAAAAGATCACTACAAATTAAAGACGCAATTTACTCAAAGAAAAGTGAGTAAGACGATGATGCCATAAGTTGAAGGAAGAATCAGGAGAAGAGGATGTGGAGGCAATACACAATGTGGGAATAATGATCTCAAATGGGTGTATTTATGTTAGCTCAAACATGCAATCAACTTTGTGCCTAGTCTTGATAACTTGTCCTGTCTAAGAATCCATCACAACATAGCCAAGTTTATCAAATAACACGTTATGACCCATGTCAACAAGTTGTCCGATAGAAAGAAGGTCAAAGTTAATGGCAAGAACAAAATATGTATCATGAATGGATAGGGAAGGCGAGGAGATAGTACCAATATGACTAACAAGCATTTGAAAATTACCAGCAATGTGTATAGGATGGCAGGATAGACAGTAGAGTTAGGTGTCATAGAGGAGAAGAAATTTTCTTGACCTGTCATATGATTGCAACAAGTAGAGTCAAAATACCAAGTAAATTTATCGGTGAGAGTAGATAAGGCAATAGATGGGCTAGAGGAACTAGAAATGAATGTGCACAACAAAGTTTCAAATTTAATTGGAGAAGATCCCAAAGTAGGATAAGCAAAATCACATTTTTCTAATCAAAGATGATAATTGCAACCATTCAAAGTAATTAATACAAGTTGAGCAACATCTAAATTTTTTATTTTTTTAAGGGAAAAAAAGGCTTACAAAAGAAAATGATGGATTACAAATACCCAAACTAGAGATTATAGTATGAATGGCATAGTGCTCACACCAAGAAACTAATCAACGATCTGACTACTGAAAATGACGCACTGGATATTCTTTACCTATTGACCAAATTTTAGCACGATCCAACAATTAATAAATCTGCAAATGTCAATTTATTAAAATTACCTTGTGGATATGCAAAAATAAATTTAAGGAGGATCTGAACTCGTAATGAAAGATGACAATATTGCTGTGAAGGAAAGCTAAAACTCTTCAAAAACTGACTTATTGTAGAAAAAATATTATATGGCTTTAATACCATGAAAGTTATTAGAGACGAGAGAGACTAGAGAGTGATTGAAAAATGTGAATCTATTATTGAAATAAAGGTATATTAGATACACAAAGAAAATAGATAATACAATAATGACTAATAATTATATAATAATGTCAAATAATTTCTTCTAATAATAATTGAGATATATATACAATAATGATAAAAGATATTTGAAAAATATTCTATGTAATAACATGATAAACGTACAGTTTGCACCGAATTATAACAGTCATTTGACCCGGATCATTGAGACAACTGTGAATTATTGGTGGTATATCAATCAAACATCCAAAAATCATGTGTGCATTTATACAACTCGATAGCTTCATAATTGTGCACAGCATTTACACTAAAGCTGGATTACTATACATGGTTGCGCATCATCTCATCATCATCGTAAAATTTTTTTGCGTGTTTAAATAATATAAAATGTCTGTAGTTTACTAGGTATTGTTTACATCTCTCATCATGCTATGCACACACACCTATAAATGCCAAACAATTTATACGTACCGGTCCTAAATATAAAAGCTAGTTGAGGAATTTATTTTTTCAGGCCAAAAAAAAGTTGGGGAATTTATTTTGGTTGTAAACGTAAAACTTTATTCCCCTAATCTCCTCTATCTCTCGTATTTATTTATTTTTAAAGTTACCTTTATAGTCAGATTATATTCTTGTAAGATGAATATTGTATAAGTTATGCTTTAAAAGGAGGAGTATTTTGTGAAAATCAACACAAATTTTTTTACAAATAACTAATTTATTTAATTTTTTGAATATGTATAAATTAGTTAATAAACTCATATATTTACTACAAGAAAAATTAAAATTAGTGACAGAGATTTAATAATAGATCTTCAATCCATCACTCATTATAAGCATTGGTAATAAACATTTTGTGAATAACTTAAATCTATCACTAATTATATAAATTAGTGATGAAGTAGCGAAAGATATAAGATATAATCACATTTTGATCAAATTTTATTAATTTCTGTC